ATAAAAACGAGAAAACATAAGGTAACAATCCAATATACATATATGTATTTATGCGCTAAGTCAAAAAAAGGTCCAAAAAACAAAAACTCCAATTACAGTAAATATATTTTTTTTTATCAAAAATACATAAGAGATACAGAGATAAATATACATTAAAACAGCCAAAAATTAATCAAAAACTTCGTAACTAATTTGCAGGCATGTAGTCTGTTATTGCTGTTTGCTTCTTCCTTTTATTTGTTTCTGCAATAACAATCTCATTGCGAAGAGCTAGCAGATTGCTTGTGTGCTTTGCGGAAAACGATTCACTATAAGTACACCATTTTATTAAATTATTGACGCTTTCAATGGCTGTAGAAGTAGAGACAACTGGTAAGACCTCCCGGTCATCAAATTCGCTGCTACCTGAAGACTCATCATCGCTATTGAGATCATGTGCAGGGTCGTTATCAAGCACATCATTGTTCCATATTTCAATTTCTGATATGCTAATGTTATTAGTTGGCTCTATTTCTGTTAAAATAGCTGCCTGAAGAGCTCCATTGCAGTCTTGATCTTTTTGCAGTAGCTGTGCTAGTGGCACATCATCGTCATCACTTTCATACTGATCAGAGTCCCAGTTGTTCAACTTTGACCAGGACTTTTTTATTACTCTTTCTGGAACATCATACCAAGCTTGCTTTAATAGCATGATTGCATTTCGAATTGAAAAGGATTTCAAGCGAACCTTGAGGTCACCTCCTTCAGCAATTAATTGAGAAAGAAGCATACTTCTGTAGTTTAGCTTGGTTAACTTAATAGGATTCTGATCCATTGGTTGTAAAGTTGCTGTTACATTTGGTGGAAAGAAAAATGCAATTATATTTCCATCGTCGCTTTGAAGTTTCTCAATTGGTGCATGAGCAGAGCAGTTGTCAATTAGCAAAATTGCCTTCGGAGGCAAATTATTTTCCTGAGAGAAACGAATCACCTGTGAATTGAAAATATTTTGGAATTACTGAACCTAAAAAAACAAAGTTTTTTCTTACCTCATGAATAAATATCTTGTGAAACCAATCATGAAAAATCCGAGATGTCATCCAAGCATTTTTTGAAAAGTTGTAATGGAGTGGATTATTGAATCCTTGGAAACTTCTTGGTTTTTTTGCTTTTCCAATTACTAATGGCATTAATTTATGTGATCCATCAGCATTTACACCAAGTAACACTGAAATTCGTTCCTTCTGGATTTTATACCCGGGGGCGGTTTTCTCGAAAAGAGAGACGTATGTTTTGTCAGGTAAACAACGGTAAAATAATCCGGTTTCATCTACATTATATATTTGTGACTCCATTAGCCCCATCTCATCGACTTTTGCACGAAATCTGTGAATAAACGGGGTGACTGAAGCAACATCACTAGAGAGAATCTCGCCACAAATTTTTAAAAAACGTATTCCGTGTCGTTTTTTAAATTTGCTAAACCATCCATCACTTGCGCTAAATGTACTTTCATCTTTATCGGGATATTCCACTTTGAATATTTGTTTGGCTTTCTCCTTTAGTATTGGCCCAGTTAATGTACACTTTTTTTCGCGTTGATTTAAAAACCACTTATAAAGACTTGCTTCCATTTTTGGATATTCAGCGATATGCAATGATTTTTTGTTAGCCTTATGATAGGTATTAGAAACAGCGCTTAAAATTGATGATTTCATAGATTTGATATAGGTGATTGCAGATGGCGCCACATCAAATTCTAGGGCTAACCGCTTCCCTTGAATACCTTGGTCAAGCTTTTCCAAGACCTGCACTTTGGTTTCCAAAGACAAAGTATTTTTCTTACGTTTATTTGGCATTTCAACGAACGACTTTTACTTTTAAGCAAACAATGCCGAAACACGTGCACGCGAATCGAATTTCAAACAAAAACTAACAAAAACTGTACAGATAGCGACGAAAATCCAACGACTACCGAGCGTAACATGAATAAATTGGGGATTCCCCTTTTTATATCTATTTTGCAACAAAAAAACAAAATACGCTCTGAAATTAGAATTTTCGATTCTAATTTCAGAGCGTGTAATGTATTCAAAAAGTTGATTCTAATTTCTGGAAATTCTAATTACTAAGAGTTCTAATTTGTGAGCGTCTACTGTAACACATAATCACAATTTTTTTTGTATGAAAAAAAAAACAGCAACACCCCCACAAAAAAAAAATCTATAAAATCAATGGTAATTTTTAACAACTTGAAACTTGCACTTTCTTATACTATAATTGAATGGACTACAATACTGCATACCCGAAATTTTTTTAAATATTCTAATTAAAAATTTGGATGACCATTTCTTGAAGTTTGATTCGGTTTTTTGCAATTTGTGCAAGCTTTTAAACTTGTATTATTGTGGTTCTTGTTACAGATTGAATTATATTTTAAATTAAAATCATTAAAAATAAATAAACATAATTTGCAAACAATATCATATTGAATTTCGTTGCTAATTAGTTGATCGCATCTGAATGTATATATGTATGTACATACCTACAAATGTACATATGTACCCAATACACATACTCCAAAATCATTTATTGATAACGTTCTTGCGCATGCACATAATATTACATATATGTATGTACATACATACTAACTTTCTTCTTATTTGGGGCTGACAAACTTTAACTTAAGAGTCGACTTTATTTCGTCTACTAATATGCCCCAATAGTTTTGGAGTCAAATGAAAATGCATTTTCTACGCATACGTATGTACATGCTCCATTAATTGATAACGTTTTTGCATGCATATATATGTATGTGCATATTACTGCCAAAAAAACTACGAACATGCATATAAATGTATATATGTACAAATCACGGCAGCATACATACATATATATGCACATAATTACACGTATACTCAAATACAACAATAACTATTTCATTCATAAACGCATTTGCATATTTCTCAAGGCCAAGTAAATTCATTCATAAAAACAACCGCAGCACATCTCCCCGCAAATTCATCACCAACAAGCGCAACTTTGTCAATCCGACACAAAAATTCTAAAATCTTAAAATGAAGAAATCTCGGCCAGCCAAGTGAAAAGTGGCAACTACTTCTCTATAACCAGTAAAATAAGTTATCTCGAATCTTGGCAATTTTTGCTAATTTTTGACAAAACACTCTATTTCTCTGTTCCATACCAATATTTCAATCATTAACTAGTATTTTAAAGTGTCATTTTAATAAACATTAAATAAAAGTGTATGTTTTCTGCAGCAAAATACATTAATTTTTTTTTAATAAAATCAAAACTTGTAAAATCACAAACATATGTGGTTTTATCGGAAGTGCACAGATGTAACGTGCAACTTAGCTCGTTTTCATATTTTTCGGTCCGAAATTGTAAAATTTTTGTCCATGCCGCGCCACAATTTTTGTACAGGTGGGTCAATGTGCCTTGAACAAAATTTATATATATACAAAAAAATTATTTTATTTATTTTTTAATATTAAAAATTTCTATACTTCCAAGCGTTTATAAAAATATATTTACATATATGCACGAACGATTTTTAATATTTTTCATCCCTAAGCAAATCTTCAGTACCATAAAAGATTCAAACACATCAAAGTACAAGCAACCTAGTGCTACTCCACTGTACATGTGTATATGAATGTATGCATGTATGCGTGTAAAAAATGTCAATTCCAGTTGGTCTTTAACCCATTCAGCGGACATAGTTTTTTTGGTTTCAGCTGGTTGCAACTGTTAATGAAGCACAATTTTTATGTTTAATCTTTATGAAAGTTACATGTATCGTCGAGAACATGGTTACATGCAGAATTTTAAATTAATTAATATTATTCACCATACAAAATGTACGAGTATTGCTTTATTAAATGCAAACTTATGCGAAAATCTAAATATTTCGCAAACATGGGGTTAATGGTTTCGCGCACGTGCCAATCTGGTGCCGATTCGCAGAAATTGAATAATTTGTGTGTTAATGGGAGCGGCGAGGGGAAGACGAAAGCCGACCAATCGTACATTTGTATGTACATATATATCTTACATACATACATTACATACCTACATATTTACAAAGGCATGTGTATATATGTACGTACAAATTTATGCGTTTGGCTTTTTGCATGAATAGAAAATTTGATTGCAGAAATAATTTTAATGAAATTAATTTTACAAACACATTTGTACTATATAATATTAAGTTTGTTAGTTAATATCGGTATTTTGATAACAAGCCATAATTTGTTAGACACACATACGTACATACACGGGCAATCAAAAGTGATTGCATGGTTCTTTTTTGTATAATATTTACAATGTTTTTCAAGTAAAAATTTTTTTGGTATAGGTATTTTTATAAAAATATGGTTCATGCTTTAATCGAAACCACATAAGTCAAACTTTAAAAATTTATACAGAACGTAGAAAAATTCAACAAATTTTCATCTAAATTTTCTACTTTTGGGTACGTAGATAGATGGTTATATATGTAATTCTAGTGAAACAAGTGAAAGTTTTAAGCGGATAAA